TGTGGGAAGGCTCTCCAGTGGGAGGTTTTAGGCAAGAAAACCATCCGAGGCAGGCGGTGTGCAGTGGCCCCAAGAAGGAAAGTGCAGAGGCAGGGCGGATGCAGAAAGAATTTAACCAGAAATTAAGGGAAACCTCAACGCAAAAGTGAAACAGGAATTTTGGGGGGTGGGAAGGTGAAAAAAACAGGTTTTAGGAAATTTTAGAAATTAAGGGGACCATGGAGGAAGCACAGGGCTGCAGAGCAGCAGAAGGTATATTTCCATAGAATAGGGAAGCTGAAAAGCTACAACAGGCATATTTCCATAGAATGAGGGAGCTGGGAAGAGCAACACGTCTATATTTACAAAACAGAGAGAAGGAAGCTCTTCATCCAGAAGGAGAAAAAGAAAGCCCAAAGGGTACAGAAAAACAATAAGGGGGGCGGGGGAGAACTTCACATGTCCCACGTGAGGTTGGGCCTTTGAGCCTAGGTCCTAGGAGTTACTGTAGTAAGCTGTCTAAGGGAATAGTGACCAATCAGAGGGGATATCAAGGCCCCAGGATCTGCAGCCTTTATAAGCCATAGGGAAAAGGAACTCAGTGGGACCCTTTTCCCCCTCCCCATGTGGGAGCGTGTACTTGTTCTTCAATAAATCTCCATCTTTGCTATACCACTTCCTGTCCCTGGATTCACTCTTCAATTCCCGCGGACAGAGAATCGGGGTTCCAGTCCAGGGGAACACCACGTGTTCCAATCCAAAAATTCCGTTTCAAAACCAAAGCCCTAAGGGTTCCAACCTTTCACGGGGACGCGAGACTTACCGGCCTTGGAGACGCGGGTTTGGGGATTTCAAAGTCCGTCGCGGCCCCAGGATTCATCTGTACAGGAACTTGGGTAGAGATGCTCGGGTTTAAAGGAGAAAGACCAAAAAATCCGCTTAGTTACCTTCCCTCTGCCTTAGCCGCTCCCGGGTGTGCAAGACACTGGATGTGCGCGCCAGGAGGCACCGGGGCAGGTGCGTGACCGGATCCCTGCGGGCTACCGACGGGGCTCCACGCGGCCAGGGCGGTGGAGACCCGAGAGGGTGGGGCGGGCCCGG